ATATTCTCATATGCTTATCTTATCCTTTATATATATATATTTTTTTTTCTCATATGCTTACCTTATCCTATATATATATATATATATACACACACATTCACAAATGTTCGGGTATCTATATATTCTTAAAACTTGCGTATTTTTTCGGCATTTCCCCCTCTTTTTCGGTGTTTTACACAGTATTTTCATTTTCCTTTTGTTAGACTGGTTGACACGAAATTCTAAGTCTATCCTGCTATTTAATCCATAACTAGGAGTGAGTAAAGGAGAGATAGATTCATCTTTTTCAGGAGAGTAGTTATATTAGCCTCAGGATGGATTTGAACTCGAATTGCCGAATCCAGAACCTTTACGCTAACTCCAGCCGCTTTTCATTCTTTCACGATTGAAATTCTCTATTTCAAATTTGTAGACATCCTTTATCACACAGATATCAAAAGCAAGGCGGAGTGCAATCACACACTTGTAAAATCCTTGTTCTTTTGTGATTTATTACTGTTTTATTCTTTTCTGCGCCGATTATGTCAAATAATTTCAAATTATGGGATACTTATATCGAGAGAAATTCTCCCTGTCCGTTCTCTGTGGATTCGTTCGCTCGCTGTTAATGCAGCCAACCTTGACAAGCCAACTATTTATGGCTAGACTTTCTTCTGCGAGATTTTCTTCACTAACACGGCGAATGCAGACGCACACAATTCGAAAGGAAAAGAAAAAAAATTGTCATGTCGGAAGACATTCTTTATGTCCAATGTGTTTTTGCCTTTTTTTAAAAAAAGTAAATCGTAAATTCATTCCGTGCGTCTCCAATGCAAGGATTATTTATGTACGATCTTAGAAGGTGGCGATTCGGCCAATAAAATTGCTTCCGTTGATTTTTAGTGTTAGCAAGAAATGACTGTTGTGAGGAATTTAAAGATTATTATCAACGTCGAACGGACCATTCAGGACGTCGAAGGTAAATAAAGTGAATCGATAAAATGATTTATTAAGGAAACCAGGATGTGGGACGTGCGCATTTGGACATTTCTCTGCTTGTGGCCTGACAGAAGTATTTTCATGGCCTTTGCATTCAGACACAATAAATTATGGCGTGAGAATTGTGTTAACAACTTAAACACTTTACCAGCCAGAGATGGCATACAGCCATATTACCCTGCAACAATAGTCCTCTTCCGATCACCAAAGTGAAGCAACGTGGAGCCTGGTCAATATCTAAGTGGTTGATCGTTTGGGAATACCAGTTGCGAGCTCCTACTAGCAAACACTAGGCCAGCGTGGTAGAGTAATAACTTATTCCTCCCCTTGAATGGGAAATAGGGAATGATCTGGGGAAGGCCTACGCCCAATAAAGGATATTGACTGGATGACAAAGTCAAAGATAACGAGAGAGTGGGAAATTTACTGTTTCTTTTCTTTTTATGTGCCATATCCTTTCAGGACGTAGGTGATCATTGATCTTTACCTTCCTCTACCCCTTGCAGTTCTCAATAGGTTCCTTCCTTCTGATTCCCCACCCCCAGACGACGTTCGTTAATCCACCTTCCCAAGCTCGCCAGGCATGTCACGCGCTGTTTTCCCTTGTCCCTCTTTCCCTCTATTCGACCCGTGAGCATCAGATTCTCCAGGTCCTTCTTCCTAATTATGTGTTCCAGAAACTTCAGCTGCCTCCTCCTAGCGTTAAGTATAAGCCTCCTCCTTGTTTTCAACCTCTCTAAGACTTTATCGTTGCTCACACGCTCGGTCCATGATATACTTAGCATCCTTCTGTGGAACCACATATCCGTCGCCTCGAGTCTCTTCTTCATCTTTGAGGACATCGTCCAACATTTGCTCCCGTAAAGAAGGACAGATGTCAACGTAAAAGCTCAGTATTCTTTTCTTTGTTACCAAAGAAATCCTCCTGTCTCGCAATGCTCTGGACATATCTGTCTGTTTCAGCAGATTTCATTTGGCCAGGAATAAAATTACCAATATGGCCTTAAATAAACACAAATTGACCTGTAAATCATAATTGAGACAAAGGCACTTGAGGTAACGGTTACCACAGCCATTTAATCTCTGTATACTAAGGTGGTGCCACATTGCCGGCAATTTTTAACAGGCCAATAAAATTTACACTAATCCAAACGAAGCAGCAAACTTTGAACTAAATTATTTGAAGTATGTATTACTGAGTGGGCAGATATATTGGAATTCTTTGTGTAAGAAAGTTGCTACATATTGGCAGGATATAGATCATTCTTTTTCACAAAAGATCTATTCGAACGAATTGCCTAACATTACAAGAAAGAAATTACACCAGTTCATCTTTTAACGAAGAAAGTGATCTTCAGATTTTCTTTGATTTAATAAAGTAATTTTTTGCTTAAATTACAATTTGCCATTTCGCTTTTGTTAAAATACAAAATGTCTACACCACCCACCACACACAGTGGCTACTCGTATTCCAGGATACTACGTTCAGGTACATTTGTGTTTGTGTCAACACCCACAGAGCCCACCCGTGGTTTATACTGCAACTATGCTGAGCAGACCATAGTTACTGTTTCTGGGAGAGAGTGTGTTATCTAGCGTGACCAACAATTTGAACAAGGCCATCACGCTCAAGCACCCCGCCACGATGACTTGTAAATTTGTGCTAGCACATCTATCGACAGTCCTCAATTTCACTTGGTCGATCTACACTCAAACCTCAATATGGTTTTCTGCACTTTCCAGAGGTGCTGCACGCTGGGATCGATCTCAGTCCATTCAGATAACACCGGGAAGTCTCCTACGAGATTCGAAGCCAGGTCACATGGTCAGAAAGTGCCCTCTGTATGTGTATATATATATATATATATATATATATATATATATATATATATATATATATACAATAAACGTGCAATCAATTGACAAATACATGAATTATTCACACAAAACTAATGCAAAGGTTAATGATTTTAAATGTAATATTTGAATTGTTTGCGAGATGGATGTCTCGCCATTTAAAATCATTAACCTCAAATCAATCTCGAGGGAAAAAAGGTTTTGAAAAAAAGAAAGAGCTAGAAACATGAAAGTCCGTCGAAAAAAATCGCACAGATACAGGTTTCAAGCCCAAAGAAAAAACCCCGACACGAGTAAACTAACAAAAGAGCTCGATACAACCGTAGAGCCAGCTTTCCCTGACGATCCGCTTAGGTGAAACCTGGGTAGGTTTGTCTGGCTCACTAGGTTTTTATATATATATATATATATATATATATACACACACACTTGTTTATGCATAGTTTTTTAGATACAATTTAAGTAAATTCATTTAATTCATTTCATATGCTGTCATTATTTACGTTAAGATACATTTCGTGATTAGAAATGATCGACCGAGAAAAATCGTCGAAGATTGTGTGTTTATAAACAGTAGTTAGGTCTTTACTAGTCAGACGCTTCTCTGTACCTGAATAGTACAGCACGTCAGGCCAATTGAGGGTTTTCGTATAGGAATATAGGTTTCATTCCTATCGGATAACGCATATTTTTCACGAAATTTCTCGAACATTCAGTCCGGTAAATGTAATTAAAACTGATTTATTAAAAATAGTGCATTCACTTAAATTGTATCTAAAAACATAACGTATAAATAGAAAATATAATAAATAATTGTCAGACTTAATCGGGGAACTTTGATCGGAATCAGACGAAATGATTAATATCTGAGACAATTTGGAAAAATACTAAGACATGTTTCACCGATGAAGCGTTGATATACTTTCTAAGACGGCACAGTATCGTTGGGTAATTTGGACACAGTTTGTGAGAAAATGTTCTGTCAGCCAGAAATTTAGAAATGGCTTACTTGGAAGCTCCAATACGAACATTGGAGAATGTTTGATGGCGTCAATCTGAGGAGTGTAGAGGATTCGGAAAGAGTTGGACGAGTCTAATGGTGATTCCGAAGGTACGGCAGCTCGGAAAACTCACTTTGATCGTAACGATTAGAAAAGAACTCCCGAATTTGTTGGTAAGTGCCTCAAATTTAACACGGGACCTACATAACGTGCATTGAGGAGGTAGTGCTGCCCTGTGTCAAGAGTGTGGCTGCTGGAAGAGCCTATGTTTGGCAACAGGACTGTACCATGCCACACAAGCGGGAGAACCCAGTCATGGCTGTCAGATAATGATTATGGCAGCAGTCATCAACTTAAACAAGGATACCAGCTGGAAGAGTTGCAAGAGATACCGAAGACGCCTGGAAGCCGTGGTTGCTGCAAATGGCGATTTATTGAATAAATCGAGTCTTTAGTATTTTGTGTAATTTTGGTAAATATCTGTTAAAATGAGATGTCAGTGTTATTTTCATTTTTGCGTAATTTAGACAACAATTTATCCATCGCACACTATTGAGCACTTTTTAAAAAAAGTAAATGCTACGCACAGCGGAATTTTACGTAATCTGTTCTTTTTCTCATTTGGAGGTTTTTATATATATATATATATATATATATATATATATATATATATATATATATATATTATATTAATTAGAGTAATATTATTTAAATATTTTACCCATGACGTCAAAAACTATTTTTACGTCATATAATCAATTACTACTGTGAAGTCCTCATCTGTGAATCTTTAAATAAATAAATAATAATAAAGCGTGTAAAGGGGCTGGCTATTGTACATCACATCATTCCAGACACAAAAAGAAAAAAAAATAATCACTTAGCTTATTTCACCTTGTCTCTGAATTTTTAGTGTAAGAATTTTTCATTTCATTTCTTCCTATTTCTTTTTATTCATTTCAATTTATTTTGAAGATAAGAAGTGATAGCAGCTGCAGCACATCGATTTAATTTGGAATAAGGAATTTCTATTATTGAAAATTGCCTAACATCAGAAACAAAAAGTGAATCATTAAAAACAAAATTTCAAAAATAATTTCCATCTTCACTCAAAGCGAATGTACATTCCATTTAGCATAAGTATTTATAAAAGTTTAGATGTACACGCACAGATAGAGAGAGACGCGTGTAGAGAGAGAGAGAGAGAGAGAGAGAGAGACGCGTGTAGAGAGAGAGAGAGACAAAGAGACAGAGAGAGACAGAAACAGAGAGACAAATACAGAGAGAGACAAAGACAGAGAGAGACAGACAAAGACAGAGAGAGACAGACAAAGACAGAGAGAGACAGACAAAGACAGAGAGAGACAGACAAAGACAGAGAGAGACAGACAAAGACAGAGAGAGAGAGAGACAAAGACAGAGAGAGAGAGACAAAGACAGAGAGAGAGAGACAAAGACAGAGAGAGAGAGAGACAAAGACAGAGAGAGAGAGACAAAGACAGAGAGAGAGAGAAAGACAGAGAGAGACAAGAGACGCGTGAGAGAGACAGAGAGACAGAGAGAGAGAGACGTGTAGAGAGACAGAGAGACGAGAGAGAGAGAGACAAAGAGACAAAGAGACAGAGACAAAGAGACAGAGAGAGAGAGAGACAGAGAGACAAAGACAGAGAGAGACAGACAAAGACAGAGAGAGACAGAGACAAAGACAGAGAGAGACAGAGAGACAAAGACAGAGACAAAGACACAGAGAGAGAGAGAGACAAAGACACAGAGAGAGAGAGAGACAAAGACACAGAGAGAGAGAGAGACAAAGACACAGAGAGAGAGAGAGACAAAGACACAGAGAGAGAGACAAATAGACAGAGAGAGACAGAGAGACGCGTGTAGAGAGACAGAGAGACGCGTGTAGAGAGAGAGACAGAGAGACGCGTGTAGAGAGAGAGACAAAGAGACAGAGACAAAGAGACAGAGAGAGAGAGACAGAGAGAGAGAGACAAAGACAGAGAGACAAAGACAGAGAGAGAGAGAGACAAAGACAGAGAGAGAGAGAGACAAAGACAGAGAGAGAGAGAGACAAAGACAGAGAGAGAGAGAGACAAAGACAGAGAGAGAGAGACAAAGACAGAGAGAGAGACAGAGAGAGAGAGAGAGACAGAGAGAGAGAGACAGAGAGAGAGAGAGACAGAGAGACGCGTGTAGAGACAGAGAGACGCGTGTAGAGAGACAGAGAGACGCGTGTAGAGAGAGAGACAAAGAGACAAAGAGACAGAGACAAAGAGACAGAGACAGAGAGACAGAGACAAATACAGAGAGACAAATACAGAGAGAGAGAGAGAGACAAATACAGAGAGAGAGAGAGACAAAGACAGAGAGAGAGAGACAAATAGACAGAGAGAGAGAGAGACAAATAGACAGAGAGAGAGAGAGAGACAAATAGACAGAGAGAGAGACAGAGACGCGTGTAGAGAGACAGAGACGCGTGTAGAGAGACAGAGACGCGTGTAGAGAGACAGAGACGCGTGTAGAGAGACAGAGACAGAGACGCGTGTACAGAGACAGAGACGCGTGTAGAGAGACAGAGACGCGTGTAGAGAGACAGAGACGCGTGTAGAGAGACAGAGACGCGTGTAGAGAGACAGAGACGCGTGTAGAGAGAGGCAGAGACGCGTGTAGAGAGAGGCAGAGACAGAGAGACGCGTGTAGAGAGAGGCAGAGACAGAGAGACGCGTGTAGAGAGAGGCAGAGACAGAGAGACGCGTGTAGAGAGAGAGAGAGAGACGCGTGTAGAGAGAGAGACAAAGAGACAGAGACAAAGAGACAGACAGAGAGACAAATACAGTGGGAGAGTGACAAATACAGAGAGAGAGAGAGACAAAGAGAGAGAGAGAGAGACAAAGACAGAGAGAGACAGACAAAGACAGAGAGAGACAGACAAAGACAGAGAGAGACAGACAAAGACAGAGAGAGAGAGAGAGAGACAGAGACAGAGAGAGAGAGAGACAAAGACAGAGAGAGACAAAGACAGAGAGAGAGAGAGACAAAGACAGAGAGAGAGACAAAGACAGAGAGAGACAGAGAGACGCGTGTAGAGAGAGAGACAAAGAGACAGAGACAAAGAGACAGAGACAAAGAGACAGAGAGAGAGAGAGAGACAGAGAGACAAAGAGAGAGACAGACAAAGACAGAGAGAGACAGAGACAAAGACAGAGAGAGACAGAGACAAAGACACAGAGAGAGAGAGACAAAGACACAGAGAGAGAGAGACAAAGACACAGAGAGAGAGACAAAGACACAGAGAGAGAGACAAAGACACAGAGAGAGAGAGACAAAGAGACAGAGAGAGAGAGGCAGAGAGACGCGTGTAGAGAGGCAGAGAGACGTGTGTAGAGACAGAGAGACGCGTGTAGAGAGACAGAGAGACGTGAGACAAAGAGACAGAGACAAAGAGACAGAGAGAGAGAGAGAGACAGAGAGACAAAGAGACAGAGACAAAGAGACAGAGAGAGAGAGAGACAGAGAGACAAATACAGAGAGAGAGAGAGACAAAGACAGAGAGAGAGAGAGAGACAAAGACAGAGTGAGAGAGACAAAGACAGAGTGAGAGAGAGAGAGAGAGACAAAGACAGAGAGAGAGAGAGAGAGAGACAAATAGACAGAGAGAGACAGAGAGACAAATAGACAGAGAGAGACAGAGAGACAAATAGACAGAGAGAGAGAGACGCGTGTAGAGAGACAGAGAGACGCGTGTAGAGAGACAGAGAGACGCGTGTAGAGAGAGAGACAAAGAGACAAAGAGACAGAGAGACAGAGACAGAGAGACAGAGACAGAGAGACAAAGAGAGAGAGAGAGACAAAGACAGAGAGACAAATAGACAGAGAGAGACAGAGACGCGTGTAGAGAGACAGAGACGCGTGTAGAGAGACAGAGACGCGTGTAGAGAGACAGAGACGCGTGTAGAGAGACAGAGACGCGTGTAGAGAGACAGAGACAGAGACGCGTGTAGAGAGACAGAGACGCGTGTACAGAGACAGAGACAGAGACGCGTGTAGAGAGACAGAGACGCGTGTACAGAGACAGAGACGCGTGTAGAGAGAGGCAGAGACAGAGAGACGCGTGTAGAGAGAGGCAGAGACAGAGAGACGCGTGTAGAGAGAGGCAGAGAGACTGGGAGACGCGTGTAGAGAGAGACTGGGAGACGCGTGTAGAGAGAGACTGGGAGACGTGAGAGAGACTGGGAGACGCGCGCGCAGAGAGAGACTGGGAGACGCGCGCAGAGAGAGACTGGGAGACGCGCGCGCAGAGAGAGACTGGGAGACGCGCGCGCAGAGAGAGACTGGGAGACGCGCGCGCAGAGAGAGACTGGGAGACGCGCTTAGATGGACGCTCACAGATGCTCTCACGCAGACAGGCAGGCAGGCAGACGCTCACATACATACACACAACTATATAAGACAAACATTATTTGTATATTACACTGTTCCATAAGGAAGTTCGTCACTCGAGAACTAATTCGTAAATTATTCCGTCGGATATATCACCACTTGGTTATCAAGTCATGTGACCCTACATCTCTCAGGCCATAGATTTGTATAGGTCCATTTAAACCGGCATGAAATATTACCAAGTCCGATACGCAACAGACATATCGAGAACTCAAATTTGGTCCACAAATAGCAAAAAGTGTCTCAAATAATTGAAACATCTCTAATAAAACAATTCACAGGCTGTATTTGGGAAGTAAAATTAAGCCGACCTTTCAGAAACCTACACCTCATTTACAATAGCATAACCGAAACACTTGGAAATGGCTAACATCTGTGTGTGCTTAGAACGAACACCCATTTTATTAATTTCGATACACAAAGTTCAAAGAGGAAATATCTTGTTCATACACAAGAACACTACAATAAAAAATAATCATAACAGAAGTACCTTCTCAGACATTTTAATGAATTAATGTCTAGATGAATTCACAAATCAAAGTATCTGCTCAAAAACATTAATATAATCCGCAACATTTTTAATACTTTTAGAATTCATTACCTATAACTTTCCTTATGCACCTATAAGCACACATATAATGCAATATTACTGTACTCAATTAATGTATAACGTGTGTGAATATAATTTCACCGTTATAAGTATACATATATAGTTCGGACGTATCATTTATTTATTTACATATTTCTGCACTTTTATATTTCTAATCTGTGTTATAGTTTTTGATAATGAATATAGCCCCGGCTTTTTTTAACAATTAAATCTATATTTTAAATAAGCAATTTTGTAAACCCAGTTTTAAATGACCATCACGAGAACGCGACAGATAACAGCCAGAAACCACACATAAGATTGCATGAAACTCCCAGTATTGTAATCGAGGTTGGATATTAAGTATATATACATTAGTATGGACTTATAGCGCTATTCCATAACATTGAGCACTGTTTTATAACACCCGTTTAATAAATATATTTAAATACGTGCAATTATTTGCACACACACACACATATATATATATATATATATATGTGTGTGTGTGTGTGTAGAGAGAAAGAGAGAGACATGTTTCATTGAATAATTTGGACAAGTTTTGTCTACTTATATTTAATTGGATCCTTTTATATTTACGGACAAGATTTTTGGTGGTATTATTGAAGGAAGAGAGACATTAGCCATGTTAGTATATAAGACATATATATATATATATATATATATATATATAGGTATATGTATGTGTATGTATGGATGTACATGTATGTGTATATATGTATATTTATGTATACGTATATGGATGGATGTATATGTAGATGTGTGTATATAAGTGTGTATGTTTTGGTATGTACGTACTCATATACATTTATATATGGGTGTATATGTACGTATATATATGTGTATATATAGTTAGACGGATAGATATAGGGATACATTGTTTATTTGTTTAAATGGGTGTATGTAATTGTACAGAAATGTAAGGTTTTAGGTATATATGTTTATGTGCACGTATGCGTATGTCCGTATGTATATATGTGGGTAAATGTGTGTGTGTATATATATATATATATATATATATAAAGGACTGGATGCATGTGTGTATATGCATGTATGTATTTTTGTATATTTTTGGTTTATATATATATATATATATATATATATATATAAGGCATTTTAATGTTTATACGTTCTTTTTATAGATACAAATATTTAAGTAAATGATCTGTTTATAATAAGCAGTATTAACAACATTTACTAGCCTGAATGTCCGAGAAATTTTCATAGAAAATATGCGTTCTCCGATAAACAGGCCGGTAAATGTTGTTAATAGTTTATTATAAAAGGAGCATTTACTTAAATATTTGTATCTATAAAAAGAACGTATAAATATAAAAAAATGTCTTAAAATAATCGTCGGGCTTTGTCCATTTTATTATATATATATATATATATATATATATATATATGTGTGTGTGTGTGTGTTTATGCGCGTCATTAGTGTTTTGCTTGATTTTATGACTGTTTTATTTGACAAACAGGTTATTTCTTTAATGTAAAGCTATGAAGTTCAATACAATTTTTATAAACTGAGTGGATAGAATTGAGGCAAACAAAGCGTGCTTCTACAAACAGATGTCTGGAATACTAAGAATAGATTATATGACCAACGAAAACGTTGTAAGGAAAATAGAAACAAAACGGATCCCTTTCCTTAGTATCAGAAAAAAATAGCTGAAATTTCTTTGAATCCTAAAAGGAAAAGGGGGGCTTGGATAAATTGACATTCGCAGGACATAGTGAAAACCCAAGGGAACGGAGATTGGAGCAAGGAACCTCACGATCTTGTGTGAATGGATAACAGAATATAGACTGGGACGGATAATAGGGTGCAGTCATTAGAACTACAAAGGATAGGAGACCTATAATCGCTCACGTTCACAAGGCTCACGCTTATTTAAGCGATATCATGCGAAATTCTTCATTGGCCAGTCTCCAAACCAATTGTTCGACGATTGTTCAAAACTGGTGCAAATCAAGATTCAAACGATCAGTACTTAAAGTTCATTGGCGTCTGCCTGTTTACCTTTCAGCCAATTAATTTCTCTACTTAATTTTGACTTTCCTTACGCCATCATATGCGATGAAAATATTGGACTTCTGTCCTCTTTATGATTTATACCCTCCCCCGCCCTTGTCAGATCATTCAACATTATAAATGGGACTTTCTGTCATTTCTTATCTCATCACATATTCCTGATGACCCAAATCAACCTAAACAAGAAACCGTGATTTATTTAATTCATTAAGCTACTCTAGAAACATGCGCTTCTTGAGTGACTGTGTGAATTTTCTCCTTATACTAATATTCGCTAAATACAAGACCCAATAACCAGACGATGTATAGAATTACTGAATAAACGTCAGATGAGATAAATATTGCATTTTATGAGGATGCGTAGGAAAGATCACGGTTAACCCTAGACTAGAAGAGGTTATGATTATCGTGATCGGGAAAACATCTAGAGAGTCTATCAACGGAGATTCACTCCACCTTCGGACTAACCAACAATGCTTTCCTAAAAAGTCTGACACTCCCGAAGTACGGAGCAGTAAAATTTGATGAGCGAATTAATTTTAACGTGTTTTCACTAAACCTAGAATGTATAAAGGAAATTATTAAGTACAAATTAACTCTCATTTATTTATTAGCACCTTTTGACTTATATAAATGTATGTTACCACATTTCAAATGTATATAAATTCATTTTACTTATAGATCGATATAGAAATATGTTTATGCCTGAATAGTAGCTTTAAGGAAAATCCTAGTCAGAGACTTTCACGAAGTTTTCATATCTGCTCAGTTTCGTATCCAAACGTAAACAAAGCAATTTCTAAAGAAGCAATGGAGTTTTATTTATTAATCCGTCAGAGAGTGTATATCTGAATACAATGAATGGAAATATATTAAGATTTTCCAGCGAGCATTTTTGGCCACACTTGGATCCATTAAGATTGTAAAAAAAAATAAATATCGGAGACTGTTGTTGTTTTCGAATACGTTTAAATCTTGGCATTTGCTGGTTAATGTATAAATAGAGAGTGTATACAAACTATTATACAAAAATTATATATCTGACAAAATTCTGGTAATCGAATGACAAAGTGTAAAAACCGTAATGATGTGTTTCATCCCAATAACGAACGATCTTCAGGCTAATTCTGTTATCAATGTAATATATATATATATATATATATATATATAAGTGAACATTGAAGTCAACACTCAGAGGTGATAGGCTGCTTTATGCTAAACGCAATCGTCAGGCTTATTTATATACGCTCTATCTCTGATACTGAGCACTTTATCTCATAAACATAGCACACCTTAAAACAATATTTATATATATATATATATAAAACGTCCGTTGTATCTAGATGCATAATGTAGTTTCCTACAGTTTTTCTTTTTAGGATTTATTGATATTGTTTTTATATATCCTACATTGTATCAGCATTATATATATATATATATATATACAGATCATTGACAGTTTTTATTAAAGCGCCGACTGAGATATCTTCTGTCAACAACGAGTTTCTTCGAAGTGATATTTTTAGTGTGAAAACAATGCTAAGACTTCATTTGCAGCTATAAATCAAATTCTGTTACCTAAGTTGGCTATTAAAATGTAGCCCAACCTTAAGTCAGATTTTTTAAAAAAATTTGGCCTCTGATAGTCAACTTGTTACTTGCTGTACTTCTATAGTAAGGGTTCTTAATATCGGAAACTGGGCGTTTATAAATATGGATCAGGTGAACTTAGAAATCAAGACCGCATGATGATAATTTCACGCCTCAAGCGATATTAGAGCCCACACACTATATATATATTACTAGCCCATTTACCCACGCCTTGCTGTGTCCTGCACATTTTTTTGTAAGAAAATGATGATTGATTCTAAATTATTGTTATAATCTCTGGAGAAAATTGATGCATTTCAATATTACTCAATGATCTTGTCGATGTGACCATCATATAGCTTTCTCTTTCGATATTTTGGGTAGAAGCCATTCCCTTGTTCAAACTTAAATTTAATTTAAATCAAAGGGAAAAGATTGATGGGGTGATGCCCCTCGGCTACTCGCTTTGATCAAAATGAAGTATACTTATCCAAGTACCATGGGTAATGTCGTTTCAGAATATATATGGTTATAGAGCGTCTATCTCCAAAACCCCAGGAGGAATTTGATAACAGACAACTTTATATATATGGATACCATTTTTTGTAAACTGCAACTGAGTAGAATTGAAACAAACGAGGTGTGACGTCAGAAAAAGATGTGAATACTATGTATTTGTATACAGGTCACT